TCCTGGAATGAATAAAAGGGATGAGCTGTTTGTGAAGGAAATTGTGCAAGCTTGTTCACAATTCACTACAGTGTAGTGACTGTCTGGCTGGAAATACTCTTTCTGTGGCAACGCTTCTCAAAAACCAAGACAAGGGCACGGAAAATTCTACTGGACCCCCTATATCCTGCCCACCACCTTTTCCAGCTACAGTGACCTGGTGGTTAGCTGGTCTACCTTTCACCTATTGACGGACGACCAGTCCAGGGTATACTCAGCTATTCTCAAGTCCAGCTCGCCTTCAACCCAACAAGCGTTACAGAAAGCAGATGGATGTCTCCATGACCTCACCTAAAACACCAGTTGAGCTTCCAGCTGTTATATTATGCATACATTTTGGGGACCGACATTTGTATATCTGACCTAAACTGGAGGCAGATGGTGCGATTTAACCGTATCGAGCGATATCTTAAAGCAAACATTCGCTTGTGGTACATGGATAGTGAGCGCAGAAACTATGTACGTGGTGGTCTGCGCTGTAACTTTAGAATAAGCATTCCGTGCTCATAATATTATTACAAGACACTATCTTATTTGATGTCTCTCATTGGGACCCAGTTGAGTCGAAGCCATGCAACCAGACCTTGTGAATTAATTTAAAAAAGGAAAAAAAATAAAGAGGCAACCAAATATGAATCACAAGGTCTCTGTGTTAGTGGACGTTATGTAGCTAAAGACCTTTCTAAGGTGTTTCTTTAAGGTCAGCTCAGCGACACATTTAGTTAAATCGTTAATGGTCTGAGAGGTAAATACAATACGATTAAGATTACGGGATTAAGACATCAAGTTAAGCGTGAATGGCATACTGTACATAACGGGTGGCCAACCTGTGGCTCGTCGGCCATGTGCGGCCAAGTGCAGCACTCGTAAATGCCTTCTAATCGACGGCTTGCTTTTTCTGTCAAAAAAACAGCAAGTATTAAGCGTTATTATCTCAGTCCATAATGCCCACACAATGACATTAGAGAGTTAACTGAGGAGCTGTGTTGCTAACTAAGACAGCAACACCTTTCAAGAATCCCAAGTGTGCAAACATTTGTCTTAAAAAAAGACAATCAGGTAGGACATCTATTAATGTCAGGTCATAGGGGCTTTTGGTTATTATTTACTTCTGGTCACTTTTGGACTTTGTCGCAAACCAAAACAAGAGCATCTACCAACTCCCATAAACATGCTCTTGGATGAATTCAAATGTGGAGTTTGATCACTTGTTGCTTTTAAAGCAATAGTGTATCTGAACCGATGAAAAGCATAATGATTTGCTTGTTTTACAATACAGTGGTTTAAAGATATGACCTGTAACTTGGACAGTTTTTTGGGGGGTCTGAAATTGCGAGTAAAAGTTGGAATTGCAATCAGAAACTGGTGGCAGCGAGCTTCACAGCAAGCAGCAGATCGTGAACAATTTTTCAAAAAAAGAGGCCCACTACCTGCTTTGATCTGTTTATTCCGTATGTCAATGAAATCAAAGAATTACATGTTATGTAGTTAACCAAACTACCAAACTTGCGAACGTACGCTAGCTTTTTGCTAATGCATAATGTAAAATGCCATAAACTGGCTAAGGAAACTAGCACAATGTTGTGTCGTTAAAACCCTTTTGCAATGGATATTTGAACATAAGTGGTACAGCAACACCTGTAGAGAGACAATATAACAATATTTGCAGGCATATATTCTTAATCCTCTGTGAAATAATATTACTGCGGTTTACACAGATGGGTAGAAATGTTTTTATTCTGCACATAAATTGAGTGTACACACAAAAACACTCTCAGATGAAGGACACGTGCGTACGGGCCACTTTTCCCCGCACCACCACGCATATGTTAATGAATCATAAATCTCGTCCTCATGACAGACCTGAAAGATGCATTGATTTCTCTATAAAATAATAATAATAAAAGTGTCCTTGAGTGTTTTGAAAGGCGCTTATAAATGTAATGTATTATTATTATTATCTATAAAAGGGCATTTGTTTGACGTATGTCAGCCAGTGTGCACAGGTTTAAAGACAAGACAAGACATGACGGCCGGAGTTATGTCACAAGCGAGCCAGCTTTGATCTTTCTGAGAGTCGTTTATGAACTGTAAATTTCAGGAAATGTTGTTCGAGACTTGTGGCGTGCATGTGGAATTGATCGATAAGAAAAGTGAAGCCTTGGAGTCATGCGAGCAGTGCGATGGCTTTTCCAGTTGCTTGATCACAGCATGAAATCGTGCAATTTGCCTGTGAAGAGACAATTCACAGACACACATACAGCGGCAAACATGCGCACACACACACGCACACACACACACACACACACACACACACACACACACACGAATACAATTTGAACAGAACGAGAGTAAAAGTGATGAGAAGTATCCTATGCAAGGGTTCTTTCTGACATTCACGCAAATTCACGTTTGAAGTTACTGTTGTGAAAATTATAATTATTATTGATTTTATGAATTACTTTAGTTTTTATGTATTGCGCATGTTGGGTAAAAGATGTGTGACGTTTTTTTAAGATGTAATTATTTGCGTGTATGCATGATGTGGCTAGTTCTAAATTTGTTTGCCAAATACGCACATATTGTGGTACAAACATATTGAGGAATCATATGTAGATTTATTATATTATTACTGTAGAGTGCTATTTTTCTGAATAAAAACACAATACCGTAATATTGTCATGTTTTTTGTGGGGCGGATTAAGGGCATTTCCATTCATTTCACTGGGGAAAGATGATTTGAGATACAAACATTTTGAGTCACGATTTGATCACGGAAAAAAAAAAAACATTTCTAAGCGAAGGCGCCACTGTATTTGTTGGATGTTGGAATGGCTATTTTCCACCCACTGTATTTGGAATAAAACAAAACAAAACAGTGTGCCTTTAGCCTTGAAATGCAGCAAATAGTCACAACTTCACAAGTGTATATAACATTACAAGAGAATCAGCTCGTCCTGCTTAGGGAACACCCAGAGAGACAAAATGGGATCAAGGATGCAAAAACACGCACACTAACATTAGCTTCGCATGCAGGTCATTGCTGTGTCTAACGCTACCACCCACTGCACAGCACCTGTGTGTGTGTGTGTGTGTGTGTGTGTGTGTGTGTGTGTGTGGTCAGTGAATCAGTGTGTGAGCACTGACATCATTGAAGGTGGCATATCATCTTACTTAAAGGACCTGCATTTTGACCTTCGTTTACTGAGTGAGTTGTCATTCCTTTGTGGCCGAAATCCCGATTAGTTGTCTCGGGATATGTGAAATAAAACATTGACTAAAATGCACTCCATTGTAGATTAGTGGCATTCCAACATGGAGCAAGGCAGTCACAACATTTGCCGGATGACAGGGTATGCCGCCATGTGTCACGTTGAGGTGTCCCTCCCAAAAGGACGCAAACTCCCACGTCGGGGGGGCCAAGCATGGTTGGGAAAGCTCGCTTGATACTGATGTGTTGTATAGTTTTGTGTTCCAGACACTGCCCTTTTTGTGAGTCATGGCCTGCTGGCTTCTATCCATGACAGAACATCACAAAGTTTCACACAGCACCTGTGTGTGTGTGTGTGTGTGTGTGTGTGTGTGTGTGTGTGTGTGTGTGTGTGTGTGTGTGTGTGTGTGTCGTGAGAGCTGTGAGAAAAAAAGGTCACGTCTGGTCGCAGTCAGGAGTCGCTCATATGCACTGGATCAGCCACGGCAGAGGTCAGGGGTCGAGGCCCTCCGAGCCAATCACAAGTCGAAGTCGGCCCGAGGGGCTTCGCCCTCCTCCCACACACACACCAAATGCTTAGACGGGATAAGCGGAACATGGCACGCCTTTTTTACGTCGCACACATGCACATATGGCGACCACTTTTACCACTGTTGTTTGTAACTTAGCCACACTCTCAAGAATATAAACAAAAACAATAATGTCGGTCTTCTGAGTTTCGGTTGTCTCTTTCTGAGGAAAAACAAAAAATATAAAATTGCACAGTAATGCAAACATTTAAGTCACTTTTTTTTCCCCAAGCAAAATGTGTCGTACAAGAACTGACTAGAATAAATTGGTCAATTTCAAAAATAAATTATTCATATTAGAGGAATAAAGACATAATTTCACAAGAAAAAATGAGTAATATTACAAGAATAGTCCTATTTTTTAAGTGTTTTTGCAATAATGATAACAACTAATAATATTTTTATGTTACTAGGAAAAAGGGTGTATCACCAAAAGTTTATCCAAAGGAAAAAAAATTGTACTCTGACGAGAACTCAGTTTTATTTACCCCCAAATTGAACACACTGTACTCGCACTCGCCTGCATGGCAACAAAAGCTTTTCAGGTGGTGAGAGTTTGACCCTGGATCATCTTAATGTTTTGTTTTTTTCCTATAAAGGGGGAAGAAAACGGCTTCTCTTTGACCTCACAGGTGAGGATGGTGATCTTCTCCCAAGGGACGGTAAAAATTCACTGAGCGGCGTTTGTACCAATGAAGATTAGCTGTTTGAACGAGGATAAATGTATAGTGCAAAACAGAACATTTACATAGATATAGATATGGGAAGGGGAGAGTTGATTTGTCTTGACACTTGTTAGGAAGATTTCAAGAAAGTCAGTACTACTTGTGTGTGCGTGTGTGCGTGTGTGTGTGTGTGTGCGTGTGTGTGTGTGTGTGTGTGTGTGTGCGCGCGCGCGTGTGTTTGGCCCGATTAGGTGGTTGAGCCACGTTACTTTGATTGACAGCCAGGACTTCCACCCTCCCTCCTCGCCAGCCTCTCGAGCCTCACGAAGTGCCTGCGCTCCGATTGGCTACCGCCGATAGAGCTCAAGCAGGTCAACGGCCACAAGGCGGGCGCTGTGCGGCGCGGCGATTGGTCCCAGGCGCGGTCCACCCTCGCCAGTCCCACGTGGAACGGCACCTCCGATTGGCTGCCGTGGCCGCTCGATGGGCCGTCCTCCAGTTTCGGTTAGCTTGGTGCGTGAAACCGCGTGAGAAAGTTGCCATTGAAGGGGGAACTGCAACCGGACGGTGGACTATTCCTCCGGCCGCCGCCACCACCACTGCCTCTTTGGAAGTAGTTATCCAAACTGACATCATATTTCCTCTTTTTTTGCCTTCACTTCACTGCAATGTTTTCACCATAAGTCACGGAGAGGTAAATATATCAAAATTAACAATTTGCCGGACGGCTGGATTGAGTCAAGTGATTCTTCTTCAGAGCAATTAACTCGGCGAGGATTTTGTAATTTACGGATACTTTTTCCTTCTTGACTCGGAATATATCGGAGCAAAAAACGACGACAACAAAGCGCGGTGACTACCCATCCCTTTTCATTGCTCACCTGGTTCTTTTACCGCCTGGAGCTTAATGAGCCGCTCCCCCGTGCTTCTCTGCCTGATTTACGGCCCCCTCTGCCCGCGGGAGTTTTAGGGGCTCGAAACGGCCGCAGGAGGAGCGCGTTTAACGGCTTGTTTGGCTCCCAAGTGCCGGTCGTCGTGTGGAAAGGACCGACGGATGGCTTGGTGAACCGGAGCAGCACATCGGCAGCACCAATCTCACCCCCACCTCCCTCCGGTTTGGTGCTTCTCAAGGGAAGCATCGTGACGGAAGCGGGAAGACCCCCCGCCCCACTCCTCGTCCGGAGATAACGATGTTCCCCCAGGGGCGACACCCGGTAAGACCCCTATAACTCCCCCAACCCTCCCCCGCTCCCTTTGTGACATTGCAGTTCATCACCTGCCTGTAACATCCTGACATAGATTGCAACATATTTCATTGACTACTAATGGTAAATTAGTAATAGAAATAGTTGCAACCCTATTTAATTGACTGCCAATGCTAAATTGCTAATATACATAGCTACAAGCATATTGAATTATCTTACATCTTGATGCTAAATTGCAAGATTGATGGATGAATAGCAAGAGTCACATTTCATTGACTTCTAATGCAAACTGGCTACTACAAATTGCAGCAGCCATATTTCTAGACTTTACCCAATCTGATTGGCTGGCTCTTATCTGGAGGTATTTTGCATTTAATTTAAAATTGGTGTTCGGTTGTAATGTCATAATTCACTAATCAATCAATGACACCTTTGATTGGATCTGCAAAATAGAACATATAGCAAGCAAAATCTCGTTCAAACATGTTCTGTGCTTCCATCGTCAACAATCTCGGGTTTCTCAGTAGAGAGTCGATTATTTTTTTCAAATTTTTAAAATATTTAAAAATTATATATATTTAGGGGTGGGGGTGGGAGTGATGACTACTCTCCCATTTTCTCTGTATTGACTGTTTATCTGTGTTTTGGGGAGAACTTTTGGGGTTTCATTGTTATGGATTTTATACCAATGCATTTCATTGGTGGTCAATTATACACAAATTCTGGCTTTTCACGGGCCGAGCTGTGAATAGGGGGGTCAAACGTACAGCAAATAATCAAGTTGTTAAAACAGATTGGTCCATCTTTTGATCAGCTCGGTGATCGATTGTTGATTTTTTTTTTTAACTCGCTGATCGGTGATTGGCTGCAAATTCCTGATCGTGTAAAGCCTCCACATTTCATTAAGTACTAATGCTAAAAAGCAGCAAACATATTCAATTGACTGCTGAAACCAATGGCAACACCCGTATTCCATTGAGTGGTAATGCAAAACTACTGCTAAAAATGCAGTCGATCGCAACATCCATATTGCATTGACTGATAATGCAAAATTTCCAATACAAATAGCAAGAACTATATTTTGTTGACCACTCAAGCTAACCTGCTAATGTAAATAAATTGCAACAACCACATGACAGTGACATTGCGAATAGTGACTCCCATTTCCCATTGACTCCTAATGCTGAATTGCAAATACAAATACAGAACAACATTCATATTTCATTGGCTGCTAATGCAAATACAAATGGAGAGCAACAATCACATTTTATTGAACACAAATGATAATTTTGCAACTATTCCAGAAACGCATCACACGGCAGTCACAGTCCTGGGGGCCATACGAAAGCAATGAAAAAACACGTTCATTCAGTTTTTTGTCCTGACATATTTTGAGGCTGTTCTGGTGAGGTTTTATTTGTCTTGAGAATTGTAAGGCGGACTCCATCAATTGCTCTTGCCGGCTGTTTGTAGCCCGGTGACTCAGGTTTCATACCATTGTTTTTGTGTTCAAGACAAAATGGTGGTCATTAATATGTGAGTCTGGGCTGGATTCCATGCACGTTGAGGCCGGCAGCATGGCATTTATAATAATGGTTGTGTGTGTTTGTTTTAGACGCCCCATCAGGCTCCGGGTCAGCCCTTTAAGTTCACCATCCCAGAATCCCTGGACCGCATCAAGGAGGAGTTTCAGTTCCTGCAGGCCCAGTACCACAGGTAGATTTTTAAAGTCTCACTGTCATCTGTATTGTCTAAACTAGAGTTTGGCAAACTTTTGTGCTCAAAGGCATAAATGACCCGCACCATTTGTAGAGGAGGTGAGAAAAAAATACAGTTAAACTCAATGTAAAATCGTTACTTTGATAATAATGATATGCCTGTGAACCTGACCTTGGATAAGCAGAAAGTGATGAAAAATGTTTCTTTTAAAAACATACAGTTTATTTGAACAATAAAATACAAATTCATGCTAATTTTAAAATGTATTTTAATGATAATTCATTTACCGGTTATTTGATTAAGTCATATATTTGAAAATATTACTGGAGTTTATTATTAACCCAATTATAATTAATCAGCCAATTATGCGATTCAAAAGTGGAATGTATGTAAAATACTGTTTTTATTTTATTTAATTTTTTCCATTGACACAAAATTTGGCAGCATGGTGGTCAGTGCAGAGGTGCAGGATTCAATTCCGGCTCAGGCCTTCATGTGTGGAGTTTGCATGTTCTCCCCGTGCCTGCGTGGGTTTTTTCCGGGTACTCCGGTTTCCTCCCACATTCAAAAAACCTGCATGACAGGTTAATGGGACACTCTAAATTGTCCTTAGATCTGATTGTGAGTGTCTATGTTTTGTCTATGTGTGCCCTGCGATTGGCTCGCATCCAGTTCAGGGTGCACCCGGCCTGCAACCCTTGTGAGGATAAGCAGATGAGAACAATTACAATGAATTTATATGTTATTTAATGGGATCGATGAATAAAAAACAAAATAAAATCAAATTTAATCTATTTTAATTGCCCATTTTAGTGAAAAAAACGGTTCCTGATAATGGAACTCTTCGGTGGACGGGAACAAAGAATGGAGCCAGCTGTATGTGGCCTGCGGGTCATACTTTGTCCACCCTTGGTCTCAATGCTATTCCCAGCCATCCGCAATCGCCCCTGTTAGCATAACAAACTGGCCTCAGACTTACCCATAAACACGGATCGGGTTCACAAGACCGTGCAGTACACTGAGACATCCGGGCTGTTTTTTTTCCCCCCCTCTTCTGAAGCTGCGGTAGGTCCGAGTCGTGGTAATGGCTAACGTGTGGCCTTTTGCAAAGCACCCCTTATTTTCACCCGTGACACGTGTGTGTCTTTTGCATTAATGTATTTGTGTTAGGTGGTGTCGATAGTTGAGACACGCTGATGTGCAAACGCATATAAACAGCCCACAGGCGAACACATCGCGGTTGTCACGGCTCAACAGGAAGATTCATGTTCTCCATTTCAACAGACGGTGCAGGGCTTCTCCCAGCAACTTGTGGATTCCTTAATCAGGGAGTAAACAAAAAAAGGTGCGATTAGACGTTTGCATCCTTTGCTCGTCTTATCATCTTTCGTCAGCGACAACTGCCAGAGGAGACGCAAATTGGGTGTTTGTTTTGCGAGAACTTCTTTTTAATCCAACAAAGGGCTTGTGAGGCTGCAGACACATCTGTCAATAATCAAAATAGACTGTCATACAGTGCAACCACTGTTGTCAAACAAATTCAGTTTCATAGTGGCTGTTGAATTCCATGTATTGAAACACATTTCTACATGGCAAATAATTTATAGTAAAAAGAATGAACTCATTCCAGGATTAAAAGGTCTTCATTACCTATACGGTACCAACTTCTGACTTTTGAAGATGACAAATAGCGTGCAATGAACTAGTTGACAAAGTTACACAAGAATTTGCCGTGAGGGCATGCTTCATTAGTGCTGTATTTACCGGTAGTATTTTTGTATTTGAATATGTTATATTCTTGGCCTAGAATTTTGTACAAATATGCACTGTAATTATGACATGACTACTGTATTAGCATAGATTAATAATAGATTTCAATGTAATTTGACTTAGGTCAACAAAAAAGTAACGAAAAAAAAATACAAATGCATTTTAAAAAAATAGACCGGCAACATTTTGACAAAAATCTGACATCAAACAAGCCAAAATGTCAACAACCTAAAAAAAATCTCAAACACTGGACAATAAATTACAAAATGACAAAAATATGGCATAAAAACTGACAAACCTGATAAAAATCTTTTTTTTTTTTTTTTTAACATATATATATATATATATGTACACAAGAAAAATGTGTCCAAAACCTGACAAAAATCTCACGGGATCTTACCAAAAAATCGAGAAAAATCTGTGAAGAAAAATGATCAAAATCAGTCAGAACATCGCAAAAATGTGACACTTTTATGTCATTTATTTAAAATACGGTGGCTGAAAAGGGTAAAAAAGGCTCAAATCAAGACTGATGGAATGCTACAAGTTCATGGGTTAGGAGGCTCAAATATTTGAAAAGCCCCATATTACGCCACTGCTCCAGCATGCTTAGTCATTTAATTAGGCACCTAGTAAGGTATGAGAGGAGAACTACACAAAACGAAAATAAAGCAAGTAGAACAATTGGCCCTCTGAAGCCGCCAGACAAATGCGTAACCCGCAATAATAGTTTGCCATTTTGTTGGCTAGCCTCTCTAGTTATTATTGTGCTTGCTATTATTGTGCTTTTGCTACATGTTGCTAACGTCCATACAGACAAGTTACATTTCAGGTTCGCACTTCTTCCTCTTTGCTGTACCTGGGACTGTGCTGTGGCGGCATTACAAAAAGCCAAAGAAAAAGCCAAACACTTGTGGGCATAATCCTTTAGTTGCTGCCTGAGATGAATTCTCACGAGTCAAACAATGGGGCTGAACGCCAAGGTTGGCTGGCATACTTCCCGAAAACGTTGGTGGAAACACCAAATGATTTCACTTTTCCGGTCTTTGACTTGGGAGGTTGGCACTATGTTAAAAACCGGTGCTGCGTGTGCATATCAATTCTGCCCTAACAATCTCAAAGGCCCTCCTCACTGTGATGACCTGTGGCACTTGTGTTTCAGTCTCAAGCTGGAGTGTGAGAAGTTGGCTGGTGAAAAGACGGAGATGCAGAGACACTATGTCATGGTGAGATCCATTTACGCTGTTGTTTTCTTTTTTGTTCTCCAACATGAGCGCTCTTGAGAAAGGTGGCGTGTCCTCATCGGCCCTCTGTGTGTTCTGATCTTGCTGAACTTTCGTCTTGCCTCGAGCGATGATTCACTTTGTGTGCGTGTTAATAACAGAATAAGAGGGAGCCAGCGCTGTCATTTTCAAAGGCGTTCTCACATACCTATGAGTTATTATAGGAGACGCATCATGCATTTTTTTTTTTCCCCCCAAAACATTTCCCAGGTGTCCTAATAGCATGTCTGACATTCTTTTGTCAAAACGCGCAAAGAATCAAGAATTATCGAAAACTTTACACCATCTGTTGATATTTGGGCTGAAATGAGTCTGTTTTGAGGTGCCTGTCTGATGCAAATAGGCCACTGCTCAACCCACCCTCCCCTACATTGTGAGGGACATTGGCAGCATACAATATATTTTCATTCGCGGAAGCAGCACTTCATCACCAAACAGCCGAATAACACTTGTCAGTTATTATGAGGTCTCACGTGTGCGCAGAAACATCAGCAAACACGCCACACGCTCACCACGTGGACAACTTGACGAGCAATCCAGTAAATGCAGCTGATCAGAAGCAAATGCTGTTCACTCTGTGCATCCAGCCAAACTCACCGCAGCTCTGCTTAACTTTTGGTTTTTAAAATGGTAATGTTTCAGACGCTCCAGCAGCCCCCCACCCCGTCCCCCTCTATTTTCAAATGTGGACAAAAACATTTCCTAGAATTCTATTGAACAACCTCTACAAAGTAAACGCTTCCACACCACCCCGGGGATGTCATCAGGATCAACTGCATTTCTAGTTTTCATCTTAATCCCTTTCTAATTTCCTCCTTGTTAATCATTGTTACTTCCTGGTCTAACACAATTGTCTCCTTTACTCAGCCTTCTCTCTCATTTTCCATTTTTTTTTCAGCACATTACCGGGTAGTGGAAGCTAGACCTCAGGACAGAAGTAATGATTTGTGAGCAACGGTATGGTTCCATACCTAGGCAGAGCCTTGAGTGTGGGGTAAGGTGGTGAAGAGAAGACAGGTTGGAGCGGGTAGAGGAAAGTGTTATGTGGTAGAAAAGTCTGCAAGGATGAAGGGGAACGTTTATGAGACAGTGGTGAGGTGATGGACACAAATGGCCGCTCAAGCGGCACGCTTCTGTTTTCCGTTTTCACAGGCTGCCGTTTTCAGCTTCTACATGGAAACAGTGACACTGTTGTTAGCAAAGCCTTTGAGAGCCTTTGTCTGGCTCCAAAACAACACCGATTTGATCCGTTTCCAGTTCAGATCCAAGCGCTCATGTATAACAAATTCCTGATTGCGTGCATCTTTTCACGGAAGTCTTTGTTCATTTCTGAGTTCTTTTCTGGATAGATAGTAGGAATGTGATCTACTGTATTAATTCAGTGTTTCCACTTGGGTTCAGAGTTAGAATGGCAAACATTGATCTGGATTGTTTTCACGTGGGTTCTGTTTCTGGGAAGCAACTTGGGTGACACAGTAAACAAACAATGGAGGACGGCCAGCATTTCGTCAAAAGCAGCAGCTTTGTTGGGAAAAGGACATTTGACCATGTATTTACCAAGGCTTTCACTGCTTTAGCTGTAATTGCGTTATGCATGTGAACGGAGTCTTATTTGTGATGTCATTTAACCATTGCGCTTCGTGTCCCTTTGCAGTACTACGAGATGTCTTACGGCCTCAACATCGAAATGCACAAACAGGTAATAGTTGTGTACGTTGTATTTTGTCTGTGCGTCTGCCTTACTGTTACCTTCTATGTGTGTGTCCGTTTGGGTTTGTGTGCGCACGCACGTGTGTTTATCCGTGATCGATGGAGCTCTGTCTCCAATTCCTGCGTTAGCGTCGGCCGGCTGAGCCCGGAGGCAGGATGAATGGCTCTGTAGATTGATTGGTGCTGTCTAGGGGAGCGGCCTGCTTTATTACATTAGAGGGGAGGGGCTGTGGGAAGAAGTGGTGGGGGTGGAGGTGGGGGGGTCAGAGGAATCGATCATCAGCCGAGTTAGAGACAGCCGGCTCCACTTTTTGCAGGCAAAGAAGTGTGCTTTGACGCAAACCTTGGGAAGGCAGACATGCCAAACGGGCCCCTTGTGGACATTTGCGTGCCGCCAAAAAAAGCAACGAGGCAAATGAACGCACAACCAAAAGGCTTAAAATTGTAAAGCGCGTAGACACAATCACAAGGGGGGGGGGGTCACACCTGAGGAAATTGGAGGCGGATTGGCCGGGGCTGCTTCAATGAAGAGTCTCACCTTCTTGTTGTCTCCTCCTTCTCCTCCCTCTTCCTTATCCACCTCGAGGGCTTTTCTCCCATTTTACACCCCAACTTCTCGCTACTCTTCGGTGAGGCCTTTTACAAACAATCCCCCCGCGCCCCCACCAAACACGCACCCCTCCTTTCCAACCGGGTCGGCTTTCATTTTGTCCATTTGAAGCTCCTGTTCGTTCCTTGTGAGGAGATGCATTTCTGCCAATTATACACACAGACACACACGAGCACACGCGCGCGCGCACAGCTCCAGGGGAGGTCATTAGCTTGGGGCTTTAGTTGTCAGAGCAACAGGCTTCTGTAGGCGGGTGGCGTGGGGTATACAGATTAACAAACCACTCCCTGCTGTGTATGAACGAACGTGTGTGTGTGTGTGTTGTTGCTGTTGTGTCGCTCCAATTATATTTGTGTTTGTGTGTGTGTGTGTATAGCAGGATGTCTGTTCATAGTTAGTGCATTGTGGTGCTTCGCTGGTCGAACTTCAGAACTCAGTTTCTCATTAAGATCGGTTGGAGATTAAAGTGTTTTGTTCCAATCAGGTCAGCACAGCGGCCTAGTTGAGAAGGCCCGGCTGTGAATCTCGCTTTGTGCCCTCTTGTGTCCCCCCCACAACCGTGATTGCGTGGACTTCCTTCCACATTCCAAAAACATTGAGGGCTCTAAATTGGCCATCGCTGTAAATGAGCGTGAATGGTTGTTTGTCTATGTCCTGCGATTGACTCTGTGACCAGTCTCAGGTTTACCAACCTCAGTCGGTTTGGGCTCTCCGATGACCAGCAGTATTGAGACTGCTTGGATGGCTGTTCCAGTCACAGAAGAGCCATATTAAAAGGCCTTTGTTGACAAATATCTAGTGAATAATGACCCCAGCCAAACGTCCCGTGACTCTTAGACTCATAGTGCACATGTTTCCTCGTGTGCAATTATCCTTTTACATGAGGGAATGCAGGTAACCCGGTTTGTTTGATCCTCATTAAGGTAAGATGCCCTGATAGTCTTTAGTAAGACTATTCTCAGTCGGCCTAATCAGGGGAGCTGTGATACGATGCTAATTATAGGCGCGCAGCACGGGTTTCTGAGAAAGGGCTACGCAGGTATAGCCGGCCTAAAATTAGCTCTCTCTGAGCTTTCACGACACGCCGCCAATTAGCCGTAAGACTGATTTAAAGCACGCCGAGGTCAGCTGCTTGCAAGCTGTTTTGAGGGGAGGAATGTTGTTTACGGCCTCTTTCACGCAGAGAGCCTTCAAAATTGCTGTCTCGCAGCCCAAACAGGCGATACAGCTGCTTTTGACTTCAACGCAGAACTCCCGGGAAGGCGGGATTTTGACGCACCCGAGCACTTTCACACTGGGAGGTGGCAGCCCACCATCACATGACTATCAGGTGTGACAAAGTACTTGTCGGACAGAGTCAACACTTCCAATCTTGGCAATAACTAATTGGCCGCAGCGCAGCAAAAGAAGACTCTTTTTTTTTTTTTTTTTTTTTTTTTACATGCATTGTAAAAGTGGGGCTTTGATACTACGAAGAAGTTGGAACTTGCCAAGTTGGCTCTGTCCCTCCCTGATTCCGTGTCGGTGCGATTTAGACACAACAATAACATGGAAATAGTTTCTTTCACAAAATATTTTGTAGAGGGAATTTTTTTTTTCTCTGAGGGCAAGAAATTGGTCTACTTCGTCCTCCCATGCTGTTTATATTGAACTGAAGCGCACAAAAACGGTGCACAATAGACAGCATGTACTTCTAATCCTCTAAAGTAAGAAACCTCCGTCATTCTATGTTGTTGTCGTTCGTACAGAGCAGCATCACTAAAGTTTGCACGGAAAGGCAGGCTAAATTGAACTGGGGTGTGTTTGATTTGCATATCGCTTGTAAATGCAGAACTGGCAAGTATACGGTCTGAACCACCCAGACGGCGTCATGTTGTGTTTACTGATGTTGCTTGATTGTTCCTGCTGCGAACCGCATCCAGATAGCTTTTGGCAAACAGCCTGTCATTGTCTTTCATCTTGCATCGCGTTCATTGTCAATTATTTACCATCATCTCGTGTGCGTACTGCCGTAGTTCCCAGTGACTCCCTTTTTTTTTTCACTGCCTCTGCGTCATTTCGCATGGAATTATCTTATTGTCTGGCTCATATTATGTATTCTCTCCCCCCCTGCCTCCCATTTAAAAAAAATTTCAGTTGGAGTTGCAGATAATCATTTAGCATAGTTCAGAGGTTGTCCCAACGAGGCTCACACTTTATTTAGCTCGCCCAAGTGCATAATTGGCTGAATGGCGGCGGGGTTAGGGCTTTGGCGAGCCGATATGCGTGTCCTTGTGAGCTCAGTGGTGTTATTATCACACCCAAATAAGCTTCAGAACAAACACAATGGACTTGAGGTTTTACATTTGTGGCTTTACGTTTTTTTTCTTGTTGTTGTGTTGAAGTAGCAGCACGCCTGCCTCACAGTCAAAAACATTCATGTTACGTTAACACCCTAAATTGTTTATAGGTACGAATGTGAGTGTTTATTCGTCTAATTGTGCCAACTGAGATTGACTTGCAACCGGCCCAGGATGTACCCTGCCTCTCGGCCAAAGTTAGCTGGCTTGGCTCCAGCCCAGGTGTGATGCTAATGAGGGCAAGCGCTAAAGAAAGTGAGTCAAAGTTTCTTGCGGCATCAGTTTAGCGAACTGATGGTTTATTGGTGGGACAAATTATCAATATATAGTCTGGATCATTGTCGCTTATGGCACAGTATTGATGCACAAACATCAAATGTTGACGTTGTTTTGATTTCCTGAAATGTGAACATCGCCAAAATTTCTGGGTGACAAGAAAAATTGTTTGCGACGAGTAAAAACTGTTTGCTAACATCTTTGCAACTTTTTTACGGACCTTGGCGAAAACTCAACGTTCGTTACGTTTGCAAGGGAGAAGGAGAAGCGAATCCAGGAGCGACTTTCATTATCGTTTGTTGCTGTTGGGCATGTCGTATTTGCGTTCAGTGAAATGTGGCTTTTAAGTTTCACGCGACTGTCGTGGTCCGATTTGGCTACTATACAGTGGAAAGATGGCAGAAGCTTCCAAAGGCCCTGAATGTGACATGCAGCTTTTGCGTATGCGACTACTGGCGTGTAGCGATGAGCCATGGTGGGATGTCATAGCCCCGACGATTCCCTCTTCACCCCGACCTCCTTCATATCGCTTTGATTGGATGACGTGTAATACGAGCCCACTTATCTGATTCGACGCTGCTCAGGGGATATCTGCTTTCAGACGATTGTAGCCGCCTCCGGGTGAAGAAGGGGGGGGAGGGATCAGGGCGCAGAGGGCGGATGTGTTGGCATGGATACTCGGGGCCCAGCAAATAAAGTTAGGAGCTGATGAGATTATGTTTAAGTGCTGTTAGCGAACGGGGGGGACAAGAGCCGAATGGATGGAGGGAAGCATGAGAAACCCAAGCCGCCTCTTGATAATTGGAGAGAAAAGCTCTCGGGTTTGTGTGCTTTCGCCGCCTTGAAGCTGCTACATGGATATTGTTTTAAAAAAAATATATATATATTTTTTGCATCTCGGTAAATCCACAGGTGCATTTGAATGATTTAGAATATTGCAAATTCGTTTTTTTTTTGCTTTATTCAGTAGTTGAACTGATAAAGTATAACTATTAGAATGCAATTCTAATTTAGTGAAATGGTGAATTTGGAGTTTAAAGTAGCTGTAATCATCACAATGATCAAGTTAATTAAAATCAAATCATGAAATATTTTGGAGTTCTGAAGCCTAACATTTTACCTGGTAACACTGGCTGGTGTTACCAACTTTCTCAGTTGGTCGCACCCCCTCCTTTTTTTTTTTTTTTTTTTTTTTTTTCACAGAGATATGTTTTGTGCATGCGTGGAACGTATACTTATGTCCTGAAATGTTTTATGACTGGAACAGTGTGTAAGTCTGTGGTCCACGTGCAAGTCCAAACCGGCCGGCACACGCACAGTGCTTAAACTGTCGAAGGGTGCCTTTTAACCGCAATGTCTAATGCTGTGCCTGTGTTGGTGGGAGCATTAAAACGTATGCACTTGTTGCAACAGGGCCAGTGCTTTTCCTTCCTAGAACAAAAAGTCTCACAAATGTGACCAATTTAGTCGCAATTCAAGCACGGATTTTACTCTGTGTACTGCAGTAAATATTTTTACGAGAGCAGTTTTATTTTTTAGGAATTGAAGTAACAAAATAAATGACATTTTCCATGATATCAAAGTTTTGATAACAAACATGCTTCCCCCTAATAGATTCCAGGTACTCCCCGCAGTTGAGTAAGAGTCTAAACCCACGGGGAACTATAGTTTCAGCGACATTTTTTTCCCGCACAAATGTTTCAGTAAGTTTATATGCGGATAAAAAGGCTAAAAGCTACCCGTGTTTGACGTGATAGATTGCAGTCATCCCTCATGTTGTGTGGCTTTATTATTGTTAGCAACATCTCCTGATTATGTTATTAAATTCTTGTCGCGCCTCTTCCTTTCCCACAGACCGAGATCGCCAAGAGACTCAACACAATCTGCGCACAAGTCATCCCCTTCCTCTCGCAGGAGGTAAGCCCGCCTCCCCCGTTTCTCGTTCTACCGTATGTCTGCAAGTCTGCTGCAACAGTCCTCGATGGTAAACACTGTGTTTTGTGTGCGTGCTGTGTGGATCTGTTTTGCAGCATCAGCAGCAGGTGGTCCAAGCGGTGGAGCGGGCCAAACAGGTGACCATGGCCGAGCTCAATGCTGTCATCGGGGTACGGGGACTGCCCGGCCTCCCACCGACGGTGTGTCTCCATTTCTTTGCTTGCTTCAACTCCATCTCCATACATGTCCTTACACCCCAAAAATTCCCAAAACATTGAATGGACCATATTTTTTGACCATTGTTACTCAACAACCTTAAAGACATGACCACTTAAAGACTTTTGTATGCTTCAACTCAGTTTTATAATCTTCTTGTTCTTATCTTGATGCCCTTTTTCAGTCTCCTCAATTATTTATTTTTTAATCTCATTTATATTTTCTATTATTGTGAGGGGAAGCATTTCTTTGCAAAATCTTTGCGACGTGAATCAACAATGTAAAAATCAACAATCCATTCCCCAAACGCGATAACGAATTTATTATCCACAGCCTTCATTTTTGGGGCGCGGGGGAATGAACATTGGAACCTCCTTTCCGCAAAAATTCTGCGTTTAAACAGTAGTGAAGAAATTCCAGCTTTCACAGGCAGTCTCAGAGGGAGCTTGAATCTTTGAGGATTCTCAGCTTCATGGGGGGGGGGGAGACCTACTGAAGGACCGGGTGGGGGCAGTCAGGGGTGTTGACATTCAGGGAATTGTGCTAAAGTGACAGGTCGTCCAAGCTTTAGCTAAACAAAGGTTGTCTTCTGAGACTTGGATACGTGTGTTGGCTTGTGAGTTGGTGTGGACTGATAGATGTATGAGTACCTAAAGAGAGCGATCGGAGGTGAAATGGAGGGGAGAGGGGGTTAGAGGTAGATTGGGCAGTTGCTCTTTGAGTCTTAATTGTAGGATTTTAGTGTTTGTAAAAGGGGGGGGGGAGGCGTTTGCGGGAGGGGTCATGCTCTCCTCCCTCCCGCGCTCCCTTCTTCCCCTCCTTTCGTCTCCCACGCCAGCCTGTCATTCACCCTGTTTGTGAGTTAAATGTGTGTAATGAAGCGTGTTGGCTCTGCCTCCCCCCCATAAAGCCTCCCCCTCACATGCACACACATAAAGAGGGAGACACATACGTGCATATGCTCACGCTAACATCCCATGACAAAACGCCAGTGCTTCCCCTCCATTTGCTCCCATCAGGGGTCCTATTTGTTTTCCTGCGTCACTGTGTTTTTGCATCTGTGTATGTGTGTGCGCGTGTGTGTGTGTGTGTGTGTGTGTGTGTGTGTGTGTGTTTGTGGAAACAACAGGCACTGGGGGTGTTAGATGTGTGCCTGCCTTGTTTATCAAGACTCGCTGTGTGTGTGGACGTTTGGCTGATCAAGTGTGACGTGTGTGTGCGCTTGTGTCGGGTTGTTTGGCATTCTCTGCGTGCATGTGTGTCTGTGTGTGTGTGTGTGTGTGGATGGGGGTGGAGGGTAAAAATACCATTTAGTTATTTTGGACACAGAATAGAGGAGAAGTACAGCGGATGATGTCGTGGTGCTGGGTGGGAGGGTAGTTTAGTCAATTAGGTGAGACAAAAGTCGGTTTGACCTTCAGCTCTCCTTCCACCCCTACCGAGCAACCTCCTGTGTCGTCCCCGAAGTCCCCCGACCCCAAACCCTAAACCCTCTCTACCCTTCCTCATCCTCCCCCCCGCGTCCCCCGCGGCGAATCAGTGAGCTTGGATTCTCGCGGCTACTGTCTGAGGAGGCAATAATGATGTTTTGGAACACAAAGGAATTTCACGCTCAGACGAGCGCCTGATTTGGTGTGAAAGAGAGAGCTGCGCTGCCAGCCAAACTCTTCTCCTTCATTTCCCCCCTTCTACCATCACTCCCTCACAAGACCTGACAGTGTAAGCAGCAGCTGCGACCCCCCCGCCCCCCTCCACCACCACCTTCCCCCCCCCACCCCATCATTCCTTCCTTGCCCCCACCACATCCTCCTGCTCAGAGACTCTGATCCCAGCTGTCAGTATTGTTTAGTGTTTGACCCCAGAGGGATGATGATGAGGAGGAGGAGGGGGAGGAGGAGGAAGGGGGTTGATAGAGGAGGAAGGAGTGGGGTGGGGGTAGAGAATGTGTTCACCTCCTTGTCGGCTGCAGCAGCTTGTTGAGATGCTGTAAGTCCAGACACACAAGAAACAGTGCCATTTGTTCTGGGCTACAAAAGGGCTGTTGATTAGGTGACACAGTCCCATTGATTTTTTTTTTTTTTTTTTTTTTACCTCGTGGTCATACAATGCTACCTGAGATTTAGTTTTTCGGGCAGGGCAATGAAAACCATGCAAATGTCGTTCTCCTTTTTATTGAGGCACGTATTAAACAAGTACGGTAGCGCCGCGCGGTAGCGGTTAACACATCCTCCTCACAGTTCTGAGCTTCGTGCTGTCACACTTTGCTCCGTGCTTCCTGTGCGGAGTTAGCACATGTATCTTTTTCCGTCTGAAAGAAATTAGCGCGGAATGGAGTGATTGGATTGGAGTCAGTTTGGCAGTTTCCCACCTTTGGAGATCATATCAGAGCGTGTGTGAAGTGTAGCACCCTTACACTTGCATATCTTGTGCTTTTGTGTTAACAGTGGCAAGTATTTAGTATATCACACCTGATGATTGCCTGGTTGGGGGTTGCTGTGTCGGCATGTGAAAGGGTCCACAACTGCCGCAATCCCAATTTTAAGGGATTCTATGTACAAGGCTGCAAACACATATTTGTTTCTGTTTGGTTATGTTCATTTTAGAAAATCCCTTTTTTTGTTTTTTTTTCAGACAAGCAATGACTCGGTTGAAACAAAAGCGGATTATAATTATCTTGTTTTATCAAGCCAAGTTGTTTTTATGATCTGATTGTTTTGAGCTGACAACGGACAATAACGTTGTAATGTCACTCAACCAAAGCGGATTGATTTCACGCGGATTAAAATCATGTGGCAAAAATAGGCCATCGGCGCTGGAATTACACCGATTTCTTGTACAGTATGAATGCAATGCTTTGGCTTCCAAGCTATCGTCGCCATCAGCAGCTGCTGGCCTGGCATATCTACTAGAGCTGAACAATTTTGAAACAGAATCTAATTGCCCCCCCCCCCCGCCTTTTCAATACAGTATTGCAATTGCAATTTAATGTGCGATAATTTTTTTCCAAGGTCCACTTCCCACTTATTGATTTTTTTTAACAAGCAAGCAATGAATTAATCTGTATTTCAAAACTAAATCTGAGCTTTATTATACATAAACGTTTTGTTGTTAGAGGTTAGGCCTCCCCTAAAATAAAGGCCAATGAACCACAAGTTAACCTGACTTGCAAGCTTCTAAGCGTTCATTCTGACAACGTCACAAAATTCGAAACACACCGTAAGTCAGTGAGTCGGATTCCAACAGTAATTAATGTAAACAAATTTGTGGCTTTCTCACTTCCGTTTTTTGCGTTTCATGAAACAACGATAAATAAACACCCCGCACTTATATCTGCATACTATTTCTTCTTGACTCACCATTCATCCCTCTCTTGTGTCTCTGTCCGTCTCTGTCAACAGCAGCATCTATCCCACAACCACGGCGGCACCCCCGTGCCCCTGACACCTCACCCTGCTGGCCTGCACCCGTCTCAGCTGGGCGGTTCGGCCAGCCTGCTGGCACTCTCGGGAGCGCTCGGTGCCATGCCGCCACATCTCGCCGGGAAAGACGGTTCTGATAAAAAGCCACACCTTTCCGGGCCTGACTCGCACCCCGGAGGACCGGAGAACTCGAGAGGTCTTACTTGATTATTCCTTAATGTTACATAAGGTCCACTGTGGATAATTGGGAATATTTGTATATTTCACTGTTATTCATCTTTAACTTGTTTTCTCTTTTTTTACTCCATGACATCACATATTCGGCAGATCGGGAACCTGGCACAGTAAGTACTTTTGCTCACGATCCTTTAAAAATAATTCGGCAACCAATGTGAGGAAATCAGTTCTCTGGTCTCTAAATTAAAAGTTATTTGGTCAGGATACACAGTGGATGAAGAATTGCAGTTACCTTAATGACTGTGCAATTGGTGCAGGCCGAAAACACAACGCTAAACCCGAATACAATACAGCGCGCCCCCTTGCGGACTACTGCAGCTTTGCTTACCTTGTGGCTTTGTCGTGATGGTGGTGCTTCATGTAAATAGCTGGTCATGGGAGAAGCAACTCAAATGTGTCAATTTGCCTTGGCAGCTCACATAAATACATTACAAAACAGATGCCTTGTTTGTTTAATTTCACATTTGATGGGTGACCAAGGACCCCAGAGATCCATCTAATTAAAAAACAAAATTCCAAACGTCCCCTTTCCGAGTGAAAACTGGGACTTTCAAGCACTCTAGATGAATTGCACCTGTTGCTCTGTCAGGTTTTAACTTCCTCCTCCTCATTTTTCCACTCGTGGGATCATTGAAGCTCACCTCACTGTGACATTAAGCATGCCACTGCCTCGTAATTGTTTTAACCATGCGTTCACACCTTAATGGCATCTGTGGCTATGCTTGATATCCAAACTGTGCGTGTGCATGCGTGTGCATGCGTGTGCGCGCGTGTGTGTGTGTGTGTGTGTGTGTGTGTGTGTGTGTGTGTGTGTGTGTGTGTGTGTGTGTGTGTGTGTAAACACACGTGTGAGCATTTATGTATTCTCTTGGGGAAGGAGGGGGATTGGGGGGGCTTTGGTTGCTTGCTTAGTTCTGCCCTGGAGCCACTCTGAACTCCTTTCTCTGCCAAATGAGCCTTTTAGCACTCTCTCTCTCGCTCCCTCTCTCTTTCTCTCTCGCTCTGCCCCCCCCCCTCGTACACACACACACACACACACACACACACACACACGCACACACACACACACACACACACACTCACTCACTCCCTAAACCCAGACTAGCCTGCATTGTTGTGCCTATTTAACACCTCAGTGAGCAGATTACCCCCGCCTCATAACCCCCCCCCTCTCTCTCTCTCCCCACCGCCCCTGATCCCGACCTTAAAGACTCTCATTGTGTTTAATATCGCCACCGCTCATAGGGGAGGGCTTGGGCAAGGGGAGGGGTGACGGTGCAGCAGTCATATGACACTTGAGCATGAGCGTGCGTGTGTATGTGTGTTTGTCTGTCATGCTAAAGGAAAAGAGGGGGGAAAAAAAGGGTGGGAGGGGGTCTCTTATGTTTTGCGGGTCAGCGCTCTGTGCTCAGCCCCCTAAAGCCCTATTATAAAGGTGTAGGCGGGACAGGAGTGGGGGTACTACTGGGGGCTTTGGTCGAATGCAGATTTTCTGCCCGTCATCCCCCTCCCCTTGTCACCCTTTTTTTTCTCCTCCACACACTCACACCCTTCCTCCATCTTCTCTGTCCTCTAATCTCCTCATCCACTCCCCCCGTTTTTTTCTCACCCCCCCTGCCTTCCTCTTTCATTTATTCCCCCCCTCCCCCGCACCTCGCCCCTCTCTGTCAGCGCTTGCACCGTGCTGCTCGATGTGTGCACGCGCATGTGTGTTTGTGTATGCTGGATGCACATTTCATTGACAAGCTGAGACTATAATGGACTCGACATGAAGCTTTAATCCATTAACAATAGGAGCTGTTGGTCAGGAGGCAGTTGGTGGTGGTGGTTGGGGGGGGTGCCTAGTGTGTGTGTGTGTGTGTGTACGTGCGCGCACGCGTTGGTGACACACAAGTGTTATGCAAGCAATACACACATAGGCTTTCACAGTCAATTACACATTGCGCAAACACATCTCAGCACACACACACACACACACACACACACACACACACACACACACGCACGCCAGGAGAAGCTACGTGGTTAGATTTTAAGAGCCACTTAATATAATCATCAACTTCAGAGGTGTGCGTGAGTGCGGCCGCTTAATTTGCGCTCCTGTGAGCTCTTAACCTATTTGCTAATAAGTCCGCTCTGTTTTTCTAACCTGCTCCACACACACACAAGAGCAGAGTGGCTGTCATTAGAAGGAAAGTGTGGTCTACTGCGACATATTCCCTCCAGGTTATGGTGGGAAATCCTTAAAAAAAAAGGGGGTGGGAGGCGCAATTTGACAGGGTTGCAGGGGCCCTTCCAAACACAGCGTCCCAAAGTGACCATTGAATGCCGAGTTCTGCCGAAAAACATCACAAATATCGCAGACGTGAGTAATTTATCCTTTAAAACCGAAGTCTTTTGTTATTTTTCGTCTGGTTTTGGGGGCTAGGGGACTCACAAAAGTTATTTTCAAGGCACGGTTACAGTTCAAGCTCAACACAACTGCTTTTTGTTGACACTTCCTGGTAAAAGCAGGTACAATTCGGTAAAACAAGCCGCACCCATTAAAAAAATATAAGCAGCACATATTAAATTCAGTCCCAGCCAATTCTAGACCAAGTCTGAAAAGACGTTTAAAAACGTCTTTGGGAGTGAATGAGTTAAGCATCCAAATATGAGCGAAAACAAAAACTACACACCATACTGAATAAAATAAAACCAAAATAGAAGCGAGCCCGCTTGATTACTTTCAACTTCAAGGTTGCATAGTAGGCATTATGTAGTGCTTTGCGCATGACGAGAGTGTGCGCTTGAGCAGAGCTGCTCTTGATAGCGATCCGAAGGATTTGTTTTAACGCTTCAAAATGGAGTTCATAAAATGTTATGAATACCAAACATGATATTGGTGAGTTGAAAAGCGAAGTCGCCTTCAATGCGGAGTAGCCAAATCAACTCTTCAATGACTTATTTCAGCCAGTGTTGTCTTAACCTCTGATTTTTCTCCTCCGGTGCAGAGTAACTCGCTGCTGCCCGAAAGCCTCCGCAACTCAGATAAGCGACGGAACGGACCCGACTTTTCAAACGACAGCAAGAAGCGCAAATTGGAGGACAAGGACTCAAGCCACTATGTAAGACACACTTGTCATCGAATGGAACACAGTGACGCCTTTCCTCTGTTCCCTTACCTCACCCTAATCCTCATGAAAACCAAATGCTTTATTTGCACTTAAATATTCATCATTTCATCCTTGGATTATTAAATGAAGCGCTAATGGATTGTTTATCCTTGCAGGATAGCGACGGGGAGAAAAGCGATGACAATTTAGTGGTGGATGTCTCAAATGAGGTCAGCTCGTCTGCACGACTCCATTTCATCAAAGCTCTTTTTGTTTTTTTTTCCTCCTAAAGTCGATTTATGCAAAACTTCATTACAAGCCTGTGGAGACATGGCCCTTGCTTGATTGACATTCATTGAGGCCCACGTGGGAATCTTCCTTGAATGCTAACAGGTTTATTACAGGAATTCTCTGCTCACCCGTAATTAATTACCCGGATGGTTATCTCTCGGGCAGGAGCAGCCCTCGCCTCGCGGAACGCCCCTCCCCTCCCCAAGGGAGAACGGCTTGGATAAAGCGCGCCTGCTCAAGAAGGACCCCTGCAGTCCCGCTTCGACCGCATCGTCGGCTAGCTCCTCCTCCCTCAAATCCAAAGAGATGGCAATGGTTGGGATCTTGTTTTCATTCTTCTTGTTTTGGGGGTCTGTTATCACAACCCGCGAAGGTTAACGGCACGTTTGTGTTTTGTCTGTGCGGCAGCGAGACAAAGCAGGCACCCCCGGGCTCAAGTCAAGCACGCCCACGCCGCGGGGGGATTCCACCCCAGGGCCGAGCTCCACACCTGGTGTGCGGCCCAGTCTGTCAAAACCCCCCTCCATGGAGATCCCCCATCCACCTAGTATGTCTCTCCTTAAAGCTAAGCTATTACTCAGTGTCTGCGAATGCTTCAATCGTCTTATATTAGGTTTCACTCGATGAGGATATCATTAAATAATGGCCTTTATACTTTCACGTTGCTGTTGAAAGGGCTTAAAAATGCCACACGTGTAATCTTTTAAATTTGTCGAGTAGGTTTTTAGTTTAAATTTAGGTAGCAGTCTGCTTAAATTTTATCACAATGACTTTGGAAGTAATTGTGGTATATTTAGTTCGTGTCGCCCATCCTGAGTAGTCATGTTTAGTGAGTGAGAGGTCTTAAATTTGGTCAAGCCGATCTTTAAAAACTGCCTTCAAACGCCTTCAACCTTAAACATGATACCTTCACACTTTACAGCTACAGTCATACCTCGGTTTTCAACCATAATCCGTTCCAGAAGGCTGTTCAAAAACAGACTTGTTTGAAAACCGAAACCACGCTCTTTAAAAAAAAATAAATAAATAAATCTTTATTGAACACGTCTGCTCACAATGGAATGCTACATGAGGAAGCATCACTTCCTCGTGTAAGGAAGGCGAGAGGAGTCAAGTGGCGCATTCAAGTGCGCTCAGTTTGGTCGAGAACCGATTTTCGGTCGTAATCCGAGGCATAAAAAACTCGAAATTTTTGGTCGAAAACCGATTTGGTCGAGAACAGAGACGTTCGAAAACCGAGGTTTGACTGTATAACTTGACTCCAATCGTTTGTCGGGTACACTTGAATAAAATGCACACCGCCCCTGGAATAAACACCTGCAACTAACAGGTGGCGTTACCAGGTAACACTTGATTCACCAGCTACCCTGTGTGGTGATAAAACAGCGGGACCACATCCCACAGCGTCTTTGCAGCAGAGGCATCTGTAAAACTGATGTTTATGCTGCTAAATAGTTTTAATATAATCGCGTATGAATATAAAAATGTATTTGTCCAGATCAAGGCCTCACCTTCTTGGCAGCACGGTACTAGAGGTTAGCATGTGTCTCGCTGTTCTGAGGTTTAGGGTTCAAATCTCAGTTCTGGGTCGTCTCGTGTGTATGTTTCCTCCTGGTATTGTGACTTCCTCCCCACATCCTGAACACATGCGCGTTCGGTTCACTGAAGACTCTAAAATGTCCATAGCCTTGAGCTCACCCCCAACCCTTATGCGCAATAGAAAATGGATGGATGAAAGGCCTCCCACTGAAGCATGAGGAATATTTATTGAGCTTGTACCTCCCTGCTGATACAGTGAAAAGGAAACGTGTCTATAGCCAACCCTTCAATCGTGTCACATTACTGTACAAGGACATTTGACCTTAAATATCCGGGCCTTTAATTTCACATCTCAACGTTCTTGTCCTCCTCTCAGCTGCAGGTCTCAGGACTCCTCTGGCGGTGCCCGGCCCATACCCGGGGGCATTCAGCATGTTGCCTCACGCGGCGGGGATGAACGGCGAGCTGGCCGGGGCAGCCAGCGCCGCCGCCTACGCTGCCGGACTGCACAATATTTCGCCTCAGATGAGTGCCGCCGCCGCCGCCGCGGCAGTGGCAGCTTATGGCCGCTCGTCGATGGTGAGTAAGGACTGTTGTGACTAGCTCAAGTTTTATCAGCGAGCCAGATGCAATCATCAAAAGAGCCACAGATAGCTCGCGAGCCATAGCTTTCCAACCCCTGTGCGAGACCCTTCCCGTGTTGCCATCATGTGGAAGGGACGTCACATAATTGGGGATTGCTCCGCGATTTGAGCACGGAGCGTGTGCGCATTGGTGAGAGTTTTTAGCGGTGTGCTGTGGCTTGGTCTATTCGATGTGAAGTTGGGTGTGTATTTTTTATTTATTTTTTTTTTTGGGTGCTCACTTTGCTTTTCCAGTTTAATGTCGGTGGTGTCCATCTTGGCTGCCTTTGCAGCCATTCCATTGGGTGCCACTTTCTTATGTTTGTCTATTTTTGGGGACAAATCCTGGGCAGAGTGGAGTCTCTGGTGAGGGCTGCAGGCCTTGAGTTCGGCAAGTCCTTGTAGATAGCACAGTTTTGTTTTTCGTTTTGTTTTTTTGCGGAGTCAACTGTGATTGTTTTCTTGGTATGTCGAGCACATGTTTTGTTTTGTGGTTTTATTCGTTTGTACAAATATTTTTTGGTTTGTATTTTTATTAGCGGGATGCGTTACGGTCCACAATATTTCATGGATGTTTATTTATGTTATTTAGGCAAAGATACGATAAGATAAGATAACCTTTATTTGTCCCACACTGGGAAAAGTCGCCATAATTAGTTTTGGGTCATTGATTTTGCCACTTAATTCAGTCATGTTGCGCTTAAGGCAGTGGGACCTGGGAGTGTTTACTCCATCCCTGTCCTGTTGTCTTGTGTCATGCTGGAGCCTTCCTCTGTTGCCACCGTGTGGAAGGGTCGTAACGGCAGACTCTAACATGGTGCTGCCGTACTGTGAAACCTTCAAAGTAAAAGACAATCTGTTCCGCAAGGCTGTTTGACCTCCAAGTTGTCCCATTTTAGTAGAATTAGGGAAGTGTTATAAGTTACATTTATCAGGACAAACGCCCCTCCCTCTAAAATAAGCAAAACTCTTCAACTTAACTCGAAGTGGCGTAAGAATATGTGTTAACGCAGCATGAAGGCGTGTTTACTTACTGCCAAGCTCATGCTTTTTATTTGATTGTTAAATATTTAAGGCCTGAAAGTGTTTTTCATACAAATATTTACCGTAATTATTATTACTTTTTAAATTCATTCCGTCTTAATTTATCCAGGTAATACAATTGGGAACAGATTCTCATTTGCAATGCCCGGCTGGCAGTAGACAACAGAGTTACAAAAAAAAAAAAGATGTCTTCACTACTATGTCAGCGTAGGTTAGAGAGAAAGTACACCGCATTTTGACTCGCGTACAAATTTGGTTACGTTGTTCAATGAGAACTCGCTGTATTTGTTCATTCAGTCTGGGGGGGTGAGGGCGTTTATTTTCCAACGAGCTCATCACTCATTGCTGTATTTGCGTAGTGTTCATTACGCTGTTTAAATAGGTTCAGTCAAGTGGCGCCTGCGTCTGAGCAACAGTTTGCCGTAACTGTGTACTCAGCAGCTGTTTGTGTGTCAGGTTGGGAGGCATGTGGTTGTGTGTGCGTGTGTATTGGGAGGGTAGTTACAGTTTTTACTGTGTGTGTGTGTGTGTGTGTGTGTGTGTGTGTGTGTGTGTGTGTGTGTGTGTGTGTTGACAGACTCTTAACACTTGTCGTTCATTTTCAGATTGTGTGCGGTTGTTTGCTTAGTGCTCACTAGACTTACTAATGCACTCTATTATGTCCCAAAATATTGTCAGTGCCTGTTTGTGTTTGCACTGTGCTCATAAAGTGTGTGCTGTCTCTCATCAAGGTCGGCTTTGATCCGCACCCTCACATGCGGGTTCCCGGAATGCCTCCCAGTCTGACCGGAATCCCTGGTGGCAAGCCGTAAGTGACTTTGCAGCAGCTTGTTGGATTAGTGCGAGAACATATGAAGTCGTTGGACGCATCTCTGTTATTAATCAACAATCAATGGTGTGCTTCTTTTTTTCCTGGGTTTTGTTCCCCAGTGCCTATTCTTTCCACGTCGCGGCCGATGGTCAGATGCAGCCAGTTCCGTTCCCTCCCGACGCCCTGGTGGGCCCAGGTATCCCCCGCCACGCCCGCCAAATCAACACGCTCAACCACGGCGAGGTGGTCTGCGCCGTCACAATCAGTAACCCCACGCGGCACGTCTACACGGGCGGGAAGGGCTGCGTCAAGGTGTGGGACATCAGTCACCCCGGCAACAAGAGCCCGGTGTCACAGCTTGACTGTTTGGTGAGTTTATTGGTTCATCGCATATTGAGGCCATTGAGACAAAATGGAGTGCACTACTCGGCAAAAGCGGGGTGCGCGCGCGCGCGCACACACACACACACGCACAATTTTCCTCATTTGATTTAACAAACCTATTTTTAAAATGCGAGAGGTGTGGGAGACCTCACACATCCTTATATTGTGTGGTGTACTCAAGATGGGCCATACAATACAATGCACACATAACGGTGTCTGTCCTAGGTTGAACGAAAACTAGAAAATTTGGCCAAATTGTCCCTATTTTTGTACAAAGCTTCAGCGGAGGAGCTTTTGGGCCATTCAACTCGTTTCCATTCTGAAAATGGACATCATGTCAGTTAGGGTAATTTGAACTCCATCCACACTGCAGCAAATACCTCCAGGCTGCTTTTCAGTAGGACCCTGGCATGGCGACAGGCGTGTAGAACATAAAGACAGGAAGTAGTTTAAACGAAGTGACAAAATTACGATTTATTCGCGTGCCCCTCAGAACCGGGACAACTACATCCGCTCCTGCCGCCTCCTTCCCGACGGCCGCACGCTGATTGTGGGCGGCGAGGCCAGCACGCTGTCCATCTGGGACTTGGCCACGCCCACCCCCAGGATCAAGGCTGAGCTCACGTCGTCGGCGCCGGCGTGCTACGCTCTGGCCATCAGCCCGGATTCCAAGGTGTGCTTCTCGTGCTGCAGCGACGGCAACATCGCTGTGTGGGACTTGCACAATCAGACACTGGTTAGGTAAGACCACGCACACATACCCGCATTGCATCATTGGGTCATAATATTTACGGCGTTTTAAAGATGTGAGGCAATGTATCTAGTTGGACGGTTTATTATTTGTGCGCCCTGCTGGATTTCAGATTTTTAAGCTTATCCTCAGTGCGCACATTCAGTGGAGTCCTGCGATCGTGTCCTTGACAAAATTTTCAAATTAGGAAAATGAAAATAAAGTGTTCTGGGAATAAATTTGTTTAAGTTGGCAGCTTTGTGAATGTGAGGTGGTCAAAAATGTTTGTACAACAAATTTTAGCGCCAGTGCAACCAAGAAATAAAGTTTGGCGCACCGGTGCAACCAGTAAAAAAAAAAAAAAAAATTAGTCGAGAGCCTTGATACCAACGGTGGCAAAGACAAAACATTGTCGCTGTGGGGTGGAATCCTTGAATCTCCAAAACCATTATTTTTCAAGAAATTGTACCTTTTTGGAGTCATTAAGATAACCCTTATATTGTGTAATTAAAGGTGTCAGGCTATTTTCAGTACTCCTCATTGGTAGATCATTTGTAAAAAGTAGGTAGTCCAAATGCAACTACATAAAACTTAGTGGCACCTTGTAAACAGCTCATTAATTCCTGCATTTCACCACCCGTTTTCCACTTCTGTGTTGAAAGAAAATGTACTAGTAACAGCAAAGACAAAAAAACAGGATGAAAAACATGGAACCTTCCCACACACCCCCAAGTCTCTGTTCTGTTTAAACAGACAGAACGCGGAATGGGCGATCAAGTACATCAATATTCCGCCTTTGAAGGTATATCAAAGGCACAGGCGGATGTCCATACTGAATTTTTTTGCTTCCACTAGTCGGTGTCCGCATTTAAGCTGTGCGTGTGTTTAAACCCTCCCCGCAGGCAGTTCCAGGGCCACACAGATGGAGCCAGCTGTATTGACATTTCCAACGATGGCACCAAGCTGTGGACCGGAGGCCTGGATAACACCGTCCGCTCGTGGGATCTGCGAGAGGGACGTCAACTGCAGCAGCACGACTTCACGTCGCAGGTGCGCGCCGGGGCTCCAAAACATTCAATGCAGACCAGGGGCCGCCCTCCAACGCACTCGCTCACATATTCGCCACTAACGCCAGCTCTCCTTTCTCTGTCCAGATCTTCTCTCTTGGCTACTGTCCCACCGGAGAGTGGCTGGCCGTGGGCATGGAGAGCAGCAATGTGGAGGTTCTCCACGTGACCAAGCCGGACAAATACCAGCTGCATCTCCATGAGAGCTGCGTGCTCTCCCTGCAGTTTGCCTATTGCGGTAAGACACGAGCTGTTTGTCTTCCGCTACTCTAGGTCAGCGTTTCCCCAACCGGTTTCACGTGAAGCAATATCTCGAAAGACTTGCTTTGAACACAAACGATTGGAAACAAAGCTCACGTGATGCCGGATTGACAAAGCTGTTCGGCGTCATAGCGTTGTATGAATGGCAGCAGATGACGATGCAGGTTGATTGTGCCTTCTGCCATCTAACAGAATCTATCATTGTTCTGACTAGTAAAGACAGATGAATATAGATATGCATTACTTGAAAGAAAGCATGCAGAAAAATTTGTTGGTCCAGTTAAGTGAAAGTGGATGATTGTCATGGTGTCGGGAATCACTGCGTGGAAAAACATGGTCTCTCTTTAACCCTTTCATGCCCACTGTAACATGATAAACTGTGCACTGGAGTAACCACTGTCCCTGAAAGGGTTAATTCGGGAATTGTTGCGTTTATTATTTTTCTGACAAATGAAGCCCCTTTCTGGTGGGCCTCAGCACGTCAAAAAAACAAGAATGCATATCCAAGGGAAAATATATAAAAAAAAATTGCTGTGACCATTTGGTGGCGTCAATACACCATATTGATGGGCTGTCCGTCTTTCCAATGCAGGTAAATGGTTCGTGAGCACCGGGAAAGACAACTTGCTAAACGCTTGGAGAACTCCCTACGGCGCCAGCATATTCCAGGTAGGCGCTGCTAGTACTTTACATACCCGAGTTAATGAATGCATGAAACGTGACCGCAGAACAGATCGTGCTTATAACATGTGACGTGCCCCTCGCTAACATGGCCCCCCCGCTAGATTGTGGATAAATCCAACGAACACGCAACCGCAAGAGCTGCAGACGACTGTATCTGACACTTGGGCAGCATGCAGGTCAAATGCCCCTCTAGGTCCTCACGTCACATGCCAACCCACCAGGCTCCACCTCTTAAAGGCACAGATACTACAATACATACAGTATTTCCTGCTTGCATTTTATGACTATTCAAATACTTTTACAAGGTGAGAAAGGGGTGCGTGAGGTCCGTATATGGTCTTTCTCGATCGTGGCTTTTCACCTCCTTTTCTTTTCATTCATCAAAAGATGTCTGTGCCTTTTTTCATCCATCCTTGCAGTCTAAAGAATCATCCTCGGTGCTCAGCTGTGACATATCTGTGGACGACAAGTACATCGTCACTGGTTCCGGGGACAAGAAGGCCACTGTCTATGAGGTCATCTACTAACTCAGCGATGAAAGGCTCGTCTGTACCGTCCGTTTTTAGAGCTTGAAATCGCGCGCACACCCCCCCTTTCTTTGTCGCAACTTGGAAAAAGAGTACAAGACAGGCAGAAGCATTTCCTTGCCCTCTTTTCGCTGGATCATTAAATGGGCAACGGGAACCACAGATTTTTTTATTAAAACGGAGTAAACACTGAAGCCAACAAGCATTGCTGGAAAATGCCGACCGATGACGAAAAAGGTGGACGTGAGCCAAGAAGAATCTTGCAGGCGGAGAGTGCTCAGAGCCTGTTGGCTCTTCTGCCCTCTGAACCTCAGCTCCCCGCTCGGGAACGCCCACGCTATCTCACCGTGACCTCTGCTGTCCTTACGGCGAGTCCACCTACACACACACACACACACACACACACACACACACACACACACACACACACTGCATTGACACAAGCAGATCCATTCCTGCCATCGATTGTCCTGAGGCACATGCAACATTTTACCATTTAATAGCAGGGCAGGGGACCTTATTCCACTTTCTATCGAGCCTTGAAAAAGTATAATGGAACAAATATATATATGATGAGCATTTGTGAGGAAAAATATTTTAAGTTTCGCAACATCTCACAGTCGAGAGGTTCTCCGTTCACATCTCGGCTCAGACTCCGGTTGAGTTTCTCCAGGTGCTTCTTGCAACATTCCTAACAGATGCTTTTTATTCCAAATGTAAATTGTCCACCGGTGGGAATGAGAGTTGTTTCCGTCACCTCTCACCCTCAGTCAACTAAAATAAGCTCTAGGTCGCCCGTGACACAAATGACGACAAATTCTATTAAAACAAAAACAAATGACCGATTGATGTAAGTCTGTATTTGTCCTGCAACTGACTAGTGTCCAGTCCAGGGAGTGAACTACAGGCTCTCGCCCAAAGTCAGTCAAGATAAATTCGGCTGAATGAGAACGAGCAATACAGAAAATACATGGATGGATGAATCGATGGGTTGGGGGCTTTTTCCAAAGGTTCCTCCACCACTGATCTTACACTAAATGAAAGAAACTAAACAGCAAACCAAATAAGAATCCATAACAGACACTTTATTTATGCAGGACCTTACCTAAACCCTTCTTTTTAAAACTTTTTTTTTTTTCTTTTGGAGACGGGCATCTGAAGTCAATTAATTCATCCTTTATTCACAAAAATATTAGGATGAAAGAGTCTGAATGTTCCGAACTTCCGTTTCCAAGCTGCCTGCCATAGTGACAACTCAGTTGCTTCAAGATGCCAGTTAATCAACAAGTCTTAGCGATCGATGGATGATTGATAATCGGTCTGGATGAACAAGGCTCAAACTGCATCCCCACACAAAGAATGATGAGCATCAGTGTTGGTTATATTTGTGCATCCTCTAAAATCACAAGAATTCCTGACTGTGTGCTTATGTTGTTGTTGTTGTTTTTTTAAATCTATTTTTGTCCGTTGAATGTTTGTAAAAATGTATATAAGTCTTTCTTTTTTTTTTTTTTGGTTGGTTTCTTATGGAACGTTGTTTAGAAAGAAAGTGTTTTTTTGTACATCTTTTACATGGAAAAGAAATGTTGAAGAACAACTAAATGGTCTTAACAGTTAATCTGAAATGTTTAGATAATAAATGGTGTTTTTTTGTAAATGACTTTGTTGTTATTGATCTTTTTTTTTTGGCACAAAAAATGATTAGAATTCACTATACAGTATAGATAGTTTTGGTTTAAAGCTACTAACGAGCCTTTAATGCAGCAGCAGCCCAAAATAATTGCACTTGGCTTGTAATAAAGAGAATAGCAACCCGTTGTTGCAGTTTTCACATAATTAATTGATTTTATTTTATTACAGTGTTCAACTAGCCAAGGCACCTCTCGTGTTAATATTGGCCCGGACAACACTTTGTCAGTGTTTATTCTGAGATGTGTTCTAACTAAAAAACAGTTGGTAGCATCTTTTTAAAGATATATTCATTACTATTGTTTTTATAACATATTGATGATGCTGTATTTTTATTATAATGCTGTATTTTTTTTAATTTAATTTTAGCTGTTTAGCTTATAAATGTTATATCCCTTTTCACCGCTCATAAACATCGACAAAGGTGAATCACAACTACAGTGAAACCGCAATCTTTTTTTTGTTTGTTTTTCTCACATGAAATGTTTGTTATCAATGCAAGGGCTGCGAATGAGCAAACTTCGGCTGACTCAGTCCAGGGGCATAGCTAGTTATTTGGATGCTCAATGCTAACGTTGTCGATGTCAGCATTTTTCCGTTCTCTTATTTAATCCGTCAGAGCAAAATGTTTAAAGCCAAATTAGACCACCAGTAAAACGCATCTTGAGTAATGTGTACACACTAACACTTTTGATAATCATCATATCTGGTGGGCAGCTTTGACAGGTGGATTAAGACAGCTAGCAAATGTACACTTCTATGCTAGTAAACCAGACTGGAGGAGTTAATTGCCGAACTGAAGCCTCACGAGATTTGCTGAAGTCTCGTTTGGCTTTAGAAAAACAATACAGGACCACTTTTCAGGTCTTTTGTTGACCAGTCCGGCAGTTTTACTCTCTGAATCGTATGCTGGTTTTATTCTATTGGCTCGTGTACACGTGGCACGGACACGATGCGTGTCGATAAAACCACATTGCAGCAGCTGTTCAAATCAACCGCGTGTTAAATAACACACGAGCCCAATCCGCTGTTGAATACTAACACCCACAACAAACAGACTCTCAGATCCCGCTCCCTCCCGTGTAAACTGTAAATCTGATCAATTACGGTGAATGTTTAATTCTCCATCCCCGGTCTCATACATGCACGCGCGTAGGCACGCACACACCCACACGCACGCACAGGCAGTATGAGGCGATTAGGAGGCAATTACAGCAGCGGCGGTGACAAAATGAAAACTGATCCTAGGAGGAAAAAAAAGGGAGACAATGTCATTGCACGCTCAGAATGGGGCGCAGTGAATGACAGCGTTCTCTTTTCATCATCATCTCCTCGCTCTCTTTCTCCCCCCCCTCTCTCTCCCTGATACAGTGGCGGATTATTCCCCGCTAAATCTCCCAAATCCCTAATCCTATTTAACTCAGCACCACGTGTAAAAAAATAAAATAAATAAAAAAACCACACAAAAACAAAAAACAACAACAAAAAAGCTCTCCCACTGCTATGCACAATGTGGGACGCGGGTGCACGTCTCCCCCCTCCCCCCCATTGCCCCATTGTAAATATTGAAGGCTTGGAATGGTTATACTTAACGCGGTATTAAACGATTAAGGGCTATGTAACGTTATGAAAAGGAAAACATCCTCAAACGTTTTTCTCATCACAAACATTGGAAATAGAAATCTGTTCCTGGGTCCAACTGTGGACATCATAAAAGCTTAATTAACTGTACAGGCAACGTTTTAAAGTAGTACTGCAATAGGTTGACCTTTGTGTGATTAAAAAATTCATTAAAACTAAAATACAGTAAAATTAGTCACCCTTTGAAGACCTGTAAGAGAGAAGAGGAAGGACGACTTTCATAGATATCGCTGTAGTGTGTAATGAGTCTATTTACCAACCAACAATTAATTGTATTGCTCTTATTGTTCTGAGCAGGTAGACCCTTTGCAGTTTTCAGATATATTGTTCTAAAAAAAAAAAAGAAAAAAATCCCCAAAAATTAAGCACAGATTCCAGGTTCCATGCTTATCATCAAGTGTTGGCTATTAAAAAGAATGTGAAAACACACACAAGCAAAAAAACAACAAAAAGAAATGTCAAATAAAGCGCAACAAAATCATGAAGCATGTGGACGCCTCGGAGACGACTTTTTTTTTTTTGTTAGTTATTTTTTCCATTTCTGAATTTCGTCAATTTATTGTAATTTTAGTCCTGTTATACTGAATAGCCATGCAGGACTGAATGCACAAATCACTGACACAGGTTTTTGATTTAAGTCTCCAACTTCCTGTTCTAAGGTTATCATCATGGGTTATCTTCGTTTTGTTTTTTTGCCATCACTGGTTGACTGGTATCACCTGCAGTGGAATGAATGAATAAATAAATGTTACATGTACAGTGTATGCCCATTATTTGCGGGGGATAGGCAAATAGCCGCAAATAGCGAAAAGCTGCTTAGCACTGACACCCATTATAATGGCATTGAAGAATTTTTTTTTTTTTTGTTTAACCTAAATAATTCTTGAATAAATGGGGATGTCTACGGGCAATACGTGATTTACATGAAAAATCTGGGTCGGTTCCCAAAATTATAATTTAAAAAAAAAATGCAACTGTGAGTCTGTGAGTGCCAAACCACAAACATGTTGAGGTCCACTTCATACGGAAAATTGTTAGTTATATAAAAAAAAAAAAAAGGTTGAATTTAGATTTCAAATTTATTAACAGGCGAAATAAATAAAAAAGAAATAATTTTATGACACCGCTCTTGATAATGTAAATGCTTGTTGGGCCATACTTTTGTAGCACCCCGACTTAGATGATAAATTCTCAAATCTTACGTGACCAACAAGTTATTGGCCGTGATTTTCTGCATCATCTGTATCTTCTTTTTTGGCCCAATTTTCTCTTAGCAATTTTTCACAGAAAATTCACCCCAGACAGGCTACTCTGCTATGCATGTAGAGTTTGTGTGTGTGTGTGTGTGTGTGTGTGTGTGTGTCTGTGTGTGTGTGTATGCACAGGCGCTAACTAATGAGCTTTGTGTGCTGTGTCTCCCCCTCCCCAAGGTGAGCTCCCATGCTGAGGTGATCAAGCCCCGCTGGAGCTGCAGGTATCAACTGCAAACACCTGCCCGTTTGCCGCATTAACATACAACACACACACGCACGCGTGCGGGCGCACACACACGCGCAGGCACAGGCTGCTGCACAACGCCGATAGCGCAGCTCTGTCCTGTCAACACGGAGGATAATCAGCTGCTGGGGATTGTGGGTAAGCTGTAATAATCCTTCACATGGAATATGGAAAGCATCACAGAGTTATTCAATAGGATGGAGATAAATGGGTGTGCGCGTGCGCGTGTCACTGAGGATTTTCCATCTTTAACATCTTCACCTGAGGCCGGCTGTCACGTAGTGAAGACATGCCGCCGCTCGCACAGACACCCTCCGCTTCGTTAACACTTGATGCCTCGTTAAGTGGGAGCAGCAATAAGAATGTCACCTGATTAATTCCATTTTATAATAACACCCTCCCCGCACCCCCCACGCCGTATTTCCTGTGAGAAAAAGAAATACTTTCGTAATGCCGAAATTCACAAGCGCTATTTGTAGAACTGACGCGATACGACGGTGTTTAACGCAAAAGGAAAGAAAGATTTTCACGCGCAATTATCTCAGTTCATCACTTTTATCATTTACATGCACACGTGAAAGATTTAACCGCTGAACCCCTTTAAACCTTGTTGCTAACCAGAACAGCAGCACCTATTCAAGCACGTAATGAATTGCTCACATACTGCAAATGTCTCCCCTTTTCCCTGCCAGGAAAACACATGAAAAAAAAAATCGTAATCATAGTTCTCGCATTTGTTCACACATGGACAAGACTTTGCTGCTGAGGCCATTTGAACACTGTTGCGAATCAAAACAGCAGCACCCACGGAGGTACATGAACAGTTTCTCAGACTTTCATGATGCCAAGTTTGAAGCGTCCTTTCTAGTAAATCCCTGACGCCATATACACTTGACACTTTGTACTCCCTGCAGTTGATTAAAGCAACAAAACGGATATTTGTGTGATATTTTTGCCCACTTGGACAACAATTTGCCTGTGAATAGGAATGCTAGTAAGTGAAAAAGAAAA